AGGAATGCCACTAACTGGCAATTCTACTTCCTTTCTCTCCGTCCACCGAAATGGATTTTAGGATGGCCACGAAATCTGCTTTGTTGGGGGCGAAGGCTTTCGGGAGCTTTCCAAGGTGGACCCGAATGGTGGGAAGCTCTTAGATGAGGTGAGTTGGTCTTTTTCTGCTAACAGGAGACATGCTGCTGCCCTGGCCTTCCTGAAGCCGCCTTGCAAGGACAGGAGCCAAAGTGGTTAGACTGGCAGACGCTTGTAGGCAAATCTGTAGCACCTGAGATTCTAGACTCTCGCCTGCTACAAATTCAAAAAGTTGGATGGCGCTTCCAGGTTTTGTGGGCGGAACTAGTAGGGGTAGGGCATACCCCAGAACAGTGTTCTCCAGGTGTCAGTGGGCATCACGGTGTCTGCCAGTACTTCTCTTGGCACCCATTTAGCTTTTCGGGGAATGGGCAGGGCCACTGCAAGGCAGGGCTTGTTCTTGGCTGCCTGCATTCAAATGAAATAAACAGGAGAACTGGTGAATGCATGGACTCTCCTAAGTCGGCATGTGGTTCCATTCCCTCTTCAGGCTTTCCTTCTTCCCAGAAAGTATGAAGAGGGAGGTACTCCCATCTGGTTCTGCCTTTGGCAGCAATTTTGGGGTGGTGGGGTCACCTTACACTGTTACAGTGATGGCGTATTAAGTTACAGTTAGGTTATAAAGGAATTGTATATAACTTCGGGGGATGTCAGAACCCATAGCCAACAACAAAGTACACGCATTCAGGAACGGTAATACTTTTATTGCAGAGCTATAGATGCAGTAACATAAGCACTGTTAAGAATGGCGGCGGCCCCCTGGGCATAATAGGATATAGGGTATTCGTATGCAAACCCCCCCCCCAGAGCACTGGCCAATTAGGCAGCCTCCCGCGCGTGGGACAAAGCTTGGAGACCATTAGGTAGCTAAAGCTGAGAACCAACACTCTCCCACAGCACCTAGGGAAAACCCAGACAATACAACTCCCTCCTGCACATCTGTATAGATAAGCATTTCGGCGCAAAACAGAACAAGCACAGAAAGGAATGCAGTAGCAATTAACCAGACACAGACCGAGCTCCCCAATCCCCATGGCAGCGTAGCTGACCGGGGGGGGGGGGGGGGGGGGGGGGGGGGGGCTGGCTTAAGTCTCGAGTCATCTTCCTTTTGAGTAAATACAATCTCCCTTATATATAAAAGCCGAATGGTGGTGGCACTTCTCTAGAACATTCCACACGCTCCGGAATTGGTTGGCGCCCTGGTGCGTCACTCACAGGGCATCTCTCTCCATTTGCTGTGCTGCTGCCTGTGTGGGTGTCCTCCCGCCCACGCAGGCAGCGGCCACCCTTTTGCCCTGTTTCCTTCAAGCCACCATGCCACCGCTGCTGAGTCAACCCTGCTTAGCTTCCAAGATCTCACGAGATGGGGCTTGCCTGGCTCATTAACTAGTTTAGTGCTTTGGCTAATGACAAAAAACAGCTAACGAATCTGTTTTTTTTCATTCGCTTGAAGGGCCAGACTAGTTTGAGGTCTGAAGGAGCTTTTTTGTAAAAAAATACAAATGCATTGTAAAGAGGAATTGTGGGGAATGTAACTTTGGGCCATGTTAGTTAAGGTTAGAAGATCTCTAGCGATGTGAGTGCTTCACTCCAGACGGTGGTTCTCTTTGGCTTTTATCCTGGAATGCCAGCTTAGCCAGTCCACAGTCGCAGAGCTTTTTACAACAATGACATTAAAGCAGGAATAAAGCCGAATGGACCATGATTATCCTTCGGAGCTGCCTGCAGTTGTAGCAAGTGGCCAGAGTGGGAGACGTTCTGCCCTGTGGCTTGGCTTGGCACAGCCCTCAAAGCCGCTCCCTGAGCAGTGGCGCTCCTGGATGTAGGGAGGATCCCAGGATTGCCAACTCCAGGTTGGAAAATCCCTGGCGATTTGAGAGTGGAGCTGAGGTCAGGGCATCACACTTGCTTGCATACGCAAATAGGGTGTGCCTTGCTAATTGAAAGAGCGGAGGGGCACAAGCCCCACTTTCCCCCTCCGGGTGGCTACCCTGTTTTCATTCCTTCCCTGAAGGCGCTCAGGGCACCACGCGCGGCTCTCCCACTCTCCGTTTCGACCTCATAGTCACCCTGTGAGGTAGGCTGGCCCAACCGGCTGTTCTTAACTCGCCCTGACTTCCCGGCCTCGTCTCTGTGGACCTCCTTTCTCACCCCTGCTTTGCTGTGACGTGGCCCGTAGCTTTTTCCTTCTTCTCTCACACAGGCAATGGCGGCCGACAGGAGCGACGAATGGTTTGCCAAGCGTAACATCACGAAGCCTTCTGCCTAGGCGGAGCAGCTGAGACAGCCGGTGTAGCCGTTTGGGTCTCCTTGTGTCTTCTGACCATGTAGCCTTAGCCTGAGCTGTGCTTTTAAGAAATCATGATGTAAAGACCAGTGCCATCTCCCCCGTTTTGAATTGATGCTCCTTCCCTGAAGGCGGGGAACGACCTACAAGGGGGAAGGGGGTTTGCAGTGAGAAAAGGTAATCAGAGGAAATGGCCGATTGAGTCTGGATCCAACCCATTCTTTGGCTTGGAGGCCCTGGGCAGGGAAGATACCGACATCTATGACAGTCAGGTTCCGTTTGGCTTCTGCTGGGGCACATAGGCAAGAAATCACACTTTTGAGTCTGTAGTTTCTAGTGCAAAAACACTTTCAGGTGCCCATCCCCGATCTTTGTTAAGGTGGTGAGAGAGAGTTAGGAAACCCAAAACGTATCTTGCATGCTTTAACTCAGGTTTCATCCTACTTTCTCTGAATTTGCAGTGAGGCATTCTATTCCTGGCTTGCCCTGGCTGCTTGATAACGGCATTTCTTGCGCATTTGTCTGAACAATGGCTTTTCCCCCCCAAAAAAAACTCTGTTCCCTACACTGGCATAGTGTGTCTCGTATGGCTGGAGTGGGCAAGACGGGCGGCTCAAAACCTGGGCGCTGATGATCAGCAGCTGCTTCTGTGACTTCAAATATACAGAAATGTGCCTGACTCCAAAGAGAAGCCCCATGGCATCTGCTCCAGCATGGTGTGCCAGTGAGCTGATGGATGTCAGATGGCAGCAGAGAGCTTCCTGAGCATCCTTTCAGTCGGTTTTGCAAGCGACTGGGACCGGACTGGCCTGCCGCCCATGTTTCGACTCAACGGAACATCAGGAGGAAGAGGAGTATCTTTTTCATTTTGCAGAAACAAGTGGGAGAGCACTCAAATAGTCCCCAAATTAGTTTTCCAGTCAGCTCCTCCGGACGTACTTGGTTGGTTGCCAGCCCCTTCCTTGCTGGCCAGGAAAATAATCCACAGTTGTTTTCCGGAAAGGGGGCTAGGGGCAGGAAGGGAAGGGAAAGTAGAAATGTGATGTCTTCACAAGGCTGTTCTTTAAAAACATGGAACCGTAGACAAGGGCTGGCAAGCCCCCCCCCACACACACACACACATTCCATGTGGCAACCGTCCAGTTGGTAATGCCACTCCAGCTTCCTTTTTGACTTCTTTCTGCCACCCCCTCCCATTCACGGTTTCTTGGCCAAATGTTGTTCTACTGTACAATGTTGCTTTGGAGTTGCATAACAGATTCAAAGGCCTTTTTTGTAGGGGGCAGCTGCTCTGAGGCCCCCCCTCCAGTTCCGCAGAGCAGGCTGTGGTTTTCCAGAATAAAGAACCTTTGAATGCCTCCTGCTCTTGTGTCTTCTCTTTAGGACAGGCAGCAAACGTGGAGGTTCCCATTTCACGAGCCTTGACCCAGGCAGGGCTGTTGTGAAGACTGGCTTTGGGTTACAACCAGTGTTCCCTCTAAGCTGAGTTAGTGTGAGCTAGCTCACAGTTTTTTAGCCTCCGGCTCACACATTTTTGTCTCAGCTCAGGAAGGAGGGTTCCAGAGCAAACTAATTTATGCAGTAGCCAAATCGCTTGCTCACAACTTTAATGCCAGTGGCTCCCAAAGTAGAATTTCTGCTCACAAGACTCCACAGCTTAGAGGGAACATTGGTTACAACCCTAGAATAGAAGCAAGGATTGCATGACTTTGGTTGAGGCAGCGGATGTCAAGGAACATGAGTCTCCCCTGCCTCAACTGTCTTCACGTCTCTCTGTTTTGTCTGTCAATTCTTTATCAAGTTCTGTTTGGTGTAGTGGTTAAGGGATCAGTCACAAGTCCTCTCAGCTGTTCTCTCAAGAGCAGTCCTCGAAAGAGCTCTCTCAGCCCCGCCCGCCTCACAGGGTGTCTGTTGTGGGGAGGGGAAGGGAAAGGAGTTTGTAAGCCCCTCTGAGACTCCCTTGGGTAGTGAAGGGTGGGGGGTATAAATCCAACCTCTTCTTCTCTCTCAGCCCCACCTGCCTCACAGGGTGTCTGTTGTGGGGAGGGGAAGGGAAAGGAGTTTGTAAGCCCCTCTGAGACTCCCTTGGGTAGTGAAGGGTGGGGGGTATAAATCCAACCTCTTCTCTCTCAGCCCCACCCGCCTCACAGGGTGTCTGTTGTGGGGAGGGGAAGGGAAAGGAGTTTGTAAGCCGCTCTGAGACTCCAAGAAAAGGGCAGAGTATAAATCCAATCTCCTCCTCCTCCTCTTCTTAAACAAGTTACCCTTTCACACACCCACAGCTTTCCTGGACCGACAGGGTATTTGTGGCATTGAAAAAGGAAGGATGGTTTTATTTGGAACGCCTCCTTAAACCCAAGAGTCCCGGCCTATTTGTAGTAAGGTCAGTTGGTCTCCTTGGGTTATTTCCCTCAGGTAGCACAGGATTTCCTGCTCTGTTCCTGCCTCTCTATCAGCCCCTGAGCCCTATATATTACCAGTGCTATGGATATCTGGGTTATTTTTCTTTGCCAGGCGAAGCCCAACTACATAGCTATTCTCCTGGTTGCTCCCCCCTTCCTCGGTTGCTTCCCCAAACCCTGAGGCCATGGCAGACTTTCCCTCCATTTTTCTCTCCTCCCCCTCAGGTTCCACGGCTCTCATTGGTTGATGATGCCACTGAGTGTCTGCCTACTTACTCCCCCTCTGCAGGCTGCAATTTGCTGGGATGCCTGGAGGGCAGGACTAGAGGCTGTCCATCACGGCACCCGCCTGCATCGGGCCCAGGGGACCATCTAGCACAGCGTCCTGTTTCTCACAATGGTGTACCAGCATGGCACAGAGGCCGAGGCGTTCCCCCTGATGCTGCAGCCTAGCATTAGTATTCCATTTACTGCCCTGTCTCCCTTGCCCCAGACAAACTCTAAATGTTGAGGTTCCCTTTAGTCACCATGGCTAGTGGCCACTGATGGGCTTCTCCAGACTTGTCTTCTAAAGCCTTTTATGCTCATGCCTGTCATAAGAACATAAGCGAAGCCATGCTATGGCCCATCCAATTCAACACTGTCACAGTGACCAAACCCCAGGTGCCATCAGGTTCATCAGCAGGGCCAGAGCTCCAGAAGCCCTCCTACTGTGGCCCCCACAAGCACCAACAATACAAAGCATCACTGCCTCAGACATAAGAACATAAGCCATGTTGGATCAGGCCAATGGCCCATCTAGTCCAACACTCTGTCACACAGTGGCTGAAGCCCATGTGCCATCAGGAGATCCACCAGTGGGGCCAGGACACTAGAGGCCCTCCCACTGTTGCCCCCCAAGCACCAAGAATACAGAGCATCACTGGCCCAGACAGAGTGTTCCCTCTATACCTTGTGGCTGACAGTCACTCATGGACCTCTGGTCCATGTGTTTATCCAGTCCCCTCTTGAAGCTGTCCATGCTTGCCGCGGCCGCCACTTCCTGTGGCAGTGAATTCCACCTGTTAATCACTCTTTGGATGAAGAAGCCCTTCCTTTTAAATAAGCCTCCTGCTCAATGAATTCATGGAGTGCCCGTAAATTCTTGTATTGTGAGAAAGGGAGAAAAGGACTTCTTTCTGTATCCTGTGCCAAATTTTGTAAACCTCTATCATATCACCCCTGTCACTTTGATGATGCTCATACCTGTCACTTTGTTTTCAGGGATAACTATTTCATTGATTACACACACACAGAGAGTTATCTTTGGAAGTGCCCACTATATCTCAATGGCCATTTAGCACCAAGCGTGCCCCCCCATCTTGGCTTGGGGGCTTCTAGCACTGGCATATAGACACACCTCCTTTCCCTCCAAGGAATTTTGCCTGCTATGGCCCTTTTGGTACCTTCACACAGTTCTCTTTCACCATCCTATTCTCCCCTGTCCCCACCAGTATTACTGCCAAGGATTTCCCTCATTCTCCTTTAGGGACAAGTCATCCCAAACTGGAACTCCTGGGCTCCCTTCCAGGGATTAATTTAAAAGCTACTCTGCAACTATTTTGCTCTTAAGTGCCAGCAACCTGGTTCCCTTTCAGTTCAAGGGAAGAAATCTAAACCTCCCGACACCCCCTTTTCATCCATGCTTTGAGACCCCTGATCTCTGCTTTTCTCTCTCACCCTGCACGTGGAGCCAGTGGGAATTCTCAGGCTATCTGAGGGACCGTCTTCTCCTATATCAGGGGTGTCAAACATGCAGCCCGGGGGCTGAATCAGGCCCCCAGAGGACTTCTATCATGCCCGCAGTGGAACTGGCTGTCTTCTGCTTCTTCTTCCAGTTCTGCTGCTGCTGCGTCATCATAGGTCTGCAGCTTACAGATACACACCTGAACAGCACACTCAGGATTGCAACAGCACAGACATTTTCATGCAATAATTCAGAGCGAGAGGTGTCAGTGATCAGACACTGTTAAATAAACAAAATATTGCAAGAGTGCTGATGTTTTAAGCATGTCACCTTTATAAAGTTTGTATCTCCGCTACCTGGCATCACATTTTATGACACACGTGGCCCGGCCCAACAAGGTCTCATTTATGACAGATCCGGCCCTCATAACAAATGAGTTTGACACCCCTGTCCTAGATGTTCCTGCCTGGGAATTAGGATCATGGGGGCAGGTCCTCCTAACCGTCCGGTCAATCCAAGAAGCTAGCTTGGTGGGTCTGCAAGAGAGGGCCTTTTCAGCGGCAGCCCCACAATTACGGAACGGCCTCCCAAAGAAAGTGCACCTGGCCCCCTTATGTTTGATCTTCAGGAGGCAGTTGAAACCCATTTAATTTAGGACTGCACTTGATTCATTTAGTGATTTATTGGCAGTCCTAAGTGGAGATTTTAAATTGTGGCCTTTCATGGTTGTTGTTTTTATATAAAGGTAAAGGTTCCCTTGCTCGAAAGCCAGTCGAATCCGACTCTAGGGTTGCGGTGCTCATCTCCGTTTCAAAGCCGAAGAGCCAACGCTGCCTGAAGACGTTTCTGTGGTCATGTGGCCGGCATGACTAAAGACCAAGGTGCACGGAACGCTGTTACCTTCCCACCAAAGTGGTACCTATCTACTTGTTTTTATATAATTGTTAACAAATGTTCTTAATAAATAAAACACTACCTTGGAGGCCCTGGGCTTCTAACATCCTGCCTAAAGGGCCATGAGGCTACGTTTCCCAATGGAACTGGAGCCCACATGCGCCGTGACTGCTGACTCCTCCCCCGCACCAGCCAGCAGCCCATGCAGACAGGCTGCCTAAAGGGCCATAAGGCTACGTTTCCCCATGGAACTGGAGCCAACATGCGCCGTGACTGCTGACTCCTCTCCCGCACCAGCCAGCAGCCTATCCAGACAGGGTTTGAGCTCTACCACCTTTGCACCAGGCAAGCCAGTCACCCTTGGCATCGAAACACGCGTCATGGACTGTTCTGTATTAGGTCAGGAACATTCCAGGACTATCTTACCAGAGACTGGCTGAGCTTGAAGCGCTAGAACAATAGACCACCAGGACTCTGGAAGTGACCAATGAGAAACTGTTATATAAATAGCCTATCATTGGGAGTTGGGTGTGTTTGGGTGGGACTTTTGCACGCTATTTAAACAGGGCTATTGCCCCAGTATTTTATATGGACCCGGCTCTCTCTATCCCTAATGATCAAATTGCCCACTCCCAAAAGCCCATCTCCCCACAGCCCCAGAGGGGCTTCCTCAACATGAGATGGCAGGGCTGCATCATCGAAGGAAGGGGTCTCTAGATCTAAGGGATCAGCTCCCCCATCTTCAGCCTGAAACCTTCCACAGCCAAAACCTTCCCTCTCCTCAATGGCTGAGTTGTTGGCCCTGAGGGGTCTCTCATCCACACACCTCTCCCACCTCTCTCAGCTTCTCCAGGACTTGTTCTGAGCCCGGAGCTTCACACGTGAAGCACACGCCTACAACTTCTGTCCAGTAGGTAGTCATACATGCAGCACTCTTTGCGAAACCGTCAATAGCGGGCATACCTCTGCTGGCTTTACACCTTCTGTGGAGAAATGCCATTTTGTGGATGTTTAAGTTGGTGGGGGCTGGATAGGAGGGGACCATCAAACCTGAGGTAGGCCTTGGCCTAGCCTCCTCCTCATTCCCCCCCCCCGTCTCCAACCAGTAGTCTGAGGGCAGCTCCCTAGAGAGGACAGGAAGTCCGTCAAGGCTGTGAGATCTGCCCCAGAATGCTGCAGGAGGGAGAGCCACTTCCTGGGCGGGAAATGGCTGTTTGATATAATGGAGCTTTTGGGTGGGAAGCCAGTCTGTGGGAATTGAGGTCGGTCTGCCTGAAGTCTGGAGCCAGTCAGGCTGTCGGCTGGAGTCTGCAGGAGGCAGAGGCCGTGT